TCTTTCCCTTGCACATAGAGCTCAAGACAGTCATCCCTCTTCAGCTCTGCTGTGGTGGTCTTAGAGACTACTAAGAAGTGCTTTCTATTGTGGTATCCAACGCTGAAAGAAATCTGGCTTGTCCTAGACAGGTAATAGCTGACTTCTCTCTTCTCACATCAACAGGAAACTCCCTTCCTGAAACCAGATAGAACCTGATGAAGAGGCAGAGATGGATCCACCTTAATCTTGTAATCTTGTTTGCACCTGTCTCTGACCACCCCAGACACTCTGAACCTCAGCTGGGCACAGAGGAAGGGGTTGTGAATGAGGGATGTGCCATAATTCTAGCCCCCATACTCTTTTAGGAGTTGCTGAAAACATGGATGCACCTGCAAGTGGCTACAAACACTCAGCATCAGGTTGAAGCCAGATTGTCAGGTCTAAAAGTATTTTATAGCAATTCAGCTTGTCAGAGAGACACCAGTGTTCCTGGGCGGCTGGGAGGGGGTTAGAATATAGGCCAAGTGGCCTGGAGGAATGATTACTTCTACACAGGATAATCTTTCTCACACTGTATTATTTCTCTACATGCCCCCATTTAAAAAATAATAAGTAGCCAATTATTATCAATTTATTTGCTGCTTCTTATAATTACATTATCCATGATTAACTCACTGGAGTCTAATTTGACTTTAGAGTTATTTTGTGGGAAAGCTCCATCATTGGGCACGGTGGGACTCTTGCGAGTACAGCCTCACACTGTTGAGCTCATGGAGCTCAATTAATGCTTGTGGAAAAGGACAAAGAAGAGGATGAGAAATGGCAGTCATCTCAGTCTTGCTGAGTTGGAAAGTCCCTCCACATTCATTATTTTATTTGATACTCACACTAACACTACAAAGTAGCTAAGATAGCTATTATCATCTCCAGTTTACAAACTGGAAAATGGACCCAGGCCAAATCATAGCATGGTCCCCAAGATGGGATTAAAACCCATGTTGACACCCTCCTGGTCTCTCTTTCTCCACATAATGAATCTCTAAGGATATTGATTAATGGCATTGATGGTGATGATTTCTATAGTACTTAGAAGTTTGCAAAATATTTCCAATTCCTAATTTCATTAGATCTCTACAACAATCCTATAAGGTGGAAAAGAAATTCTAATCCCATTTTTACAGAGGAAGAGGGGATGAGAAAAGGCATTCAGGTAACTTTGTTTAAGAGAGGCGACTTATCCAAGATTACACCACTTTAGATTGTAAACACTTGATAAGAACCCTAGGCTCTGCCTTCTGATATTCTATTATAGTACCTTCTGAGGTCAGGGATTTACTAGAACATGTGTTTTTGTTTTTTTGTCTTCTTAAAAATAATTGCCAGAGGGTGCATGCACTCTGAGCTCACCAGAAAGAGATGGGGGAGTGGGGCAGAGAGAGAGAGTCAGAAAGCAGCTGCCATGGGGCATGGTAACACCACAATCACTCTTCCACATTTTTCTACCTTGTTGGGATTTGGGGCATGCATGCATATACGTGATAATGTTTTTCAAGCTTAGGTCTAAACTGTGAACTACATGGTCACCCATGTGGAAGCCAGTTACCTTAACTATCATATATAAATATCCATACTTTAAAACTACCAAAAAATTCTCATCGTATATGTGACCTCTAAACAATAGTGGGTTCAATGATTCTGGTCTCTTCTCTACCAATGGAGGTCTAAGGTGGTGGTAGGGGATAGGATTTAGGAAGAAGGTGAGAAGATTTCAGAGACCAAGGGGACAAGATCATGCAGGTAAAAGGGGGTAAATGTGTTAAGATGTCAGGCCAGGCAATGGTTACGTAGTGCTCCAAACTGCTGAAGCCAAAGGCTTGGAAAAATTGACATACCCAGCAGGTAGAGAAGTTTCTGTGGAATTATGAGAACAGAGAGCAGACTAATGAGGTGTTAAGGAAAGTTGGGGATGAGGAAGGGAGGTCAGGGACTATGGAAGTACTTTTTTACAATCTAGCTATTAAAGAGAGTGTAGAGTTTCAATGTTAGATTGTGTGTGGTGGGGCGGGACCAGAAAAAAGAACTTCCTGTTCTCTCTCTCTCTCTCTCTTTTTTTTTCCTGCCCCTTAAAAATGGCAGATGATGTCTTTGTAGAGGAAGAGTTAACTGAAAGGGAGAGAGAAGTAGGAGAGAAGGAGCTTAATTAGAAGACAGGAGGAGATGGATCTTTTTTTTTTTTTTGAGAGGTTTTTACTATAGGGCGCGTGCGCTCACCAGACAGACAGAGAGAGACAGAGAGATAGAAAGCAAGAAATCACCCCCCAGGGGAGATGGCCACGCCGCAATCCCTTCTTCTCCATTCTCCTCTCGGAATCTTGGGCACGCACACACAAGCGCCCGGCGTGAGTTTAAGCCACTGGTTCCGGGACTCGAACCACAGTTGGCTACATGGGAGTCCAGCGACATAGCCATTACGCTAACTGCTAGTCCCAGGAGGAGATGGATCTTGAACTGAGATGGAGGACTAACTTTAGAGCTGATTCAAGGCTCCTGGAGTGAGTTGAGACAGGAAGGAGAGGTGAAGATGCAGTGAAAGCATAAGTTTCTTGTATGTTTCCTGCCAATTTAATTTACCATAGTACTTATGTCACTTGCAGCAAGTGGCAAGCTATACAACCCAGCTGGGCACTTGCTGTCAACTCTGAGTGCAAGATCTCCTGGGTCTGGGTGCCTGGCAGCTTCTCACTGTCCTTCCAAATATGCTCAGTCCCTGGATTTCCCAGCTTGAACCACGAACCCTGTCTGGGGGCTTCTCCAGTCTCTCCCAAAGACCCCAGCCTTGGAGAACTCTCCTGAAAGTGATCGGGATAAAACACAGAAATGTATTTGACCAATTGTTTTCTTTGTTGTTGATTGATTTGATTGCTAACTATTTTAGAAAACTTGTACTGTATAGTGTACAGATCTGTCATGTTATAGCTATAAAATGGAGTATATTCAGTGATTTCTGTTTGTGTAGCTTTTTTTCTAGGCCTTGGACAGTAGTAGACTTCCATTGTTTCTAAGGCACATTCAGAGTGTTCCTATTATTTTATGTTTAGTGCCTTTCCCAGAGACAAAACTTTCCTAAGTCTATAAAAAAAATATTTTCAATGAGATCTTGAAGCACATCTAAAGCGCCTTCCCTCTATTCTCCTAATTTTCCAAATATATTTGTCTCCAAATTTCTTTTCTAATAGAAAGTATTCAGAAAGCTTTTAAAGACTGAACCAGATTATAAGGACAGCTTCCTCAAGCTTCTGAGTCATTAGGCCATTTTCTCTGGGGATAAGCCCATTTCCTACACTCTTTTGTGCTCCCCAAGCTAGTGACATCCTCCTCACCTACATGTGAGACTGTCCCATGGCAGGACTGTGACAACACTGGGGCTTACTTTTGAATCTGCCCTTCATTTGGGGGAACTCCCTGCTTAACATTCTATTTGTCTAATGTCCTCATTGGCAGTCACTGCTATACCATGGGCACAAGCAAGGCATAGATCAAGGTTGGGATGGATTTTATTGGAGATGCTCACAACTAGGTGTCCACAGAGAGGCCTTCTCTGGCTACCTTTTTAAAAATAAAATCTCTCTGGGCCAGCCCCCAGCAAGATGGTTAAAGCAGCTAGATCCGAAACAGCTGACCACGTGGATTGAGTTCTGGACCTGACAGCCCTTAAAAATGGCAGATGATGTCTTTGTAGAGGAAGAGTTAACTGAAAGGGAGAGAGAAGTAGGAGAGAAGGAGCTTAATTAGAAGACAGGAGGAGATGGATCTTTTTTTTTTTTTTGAGAGGTTTTTACTATAGGGCGCGTGCGCTCACCAGACAGACAGAGAGAGACAGAGAGATAGAAAGCAAGAAATCACCCCCCAGGGGAGATGGCCACGCCGCAATCCCTTCTTCTCCATTCTCCTCTCGGAATCTTGGGCACGCACACACAAGCGCCCGGCGTGAGTTTAAGCCACTGGTTCCGGGACTCGAACCACAGTTGGCTACATGGGAGTCCAGCGACATAGCCATTACGCTAACTGCTAGTCCCAGGAGGAGATGGATCTTGAACTGAGATGGAGGACTAACTTTAGAGCTGATTCAAGGCTCCTGGAGTGAGTTGAGACAGGAAGGAGAGGTGAAGATGCAGTGAAAGCATAAGTTTCTTGTATGTTTCCTGCCAATTTAATTTACCATAGTACTTATGTCACTTGCAGCAAGTGGCAAGCTATACAACCCAGCTGGGCACTTGCTGTCAACTCTGAGTGCAAGATCTCCTGGGTCTGGGTGCCTGGCAGCTTCTCACTGTCCTTCCAAATATGCTCAGTCCCTGGATTTCCCAGCTTGAACCACGAACCCTGTCTGGGGGCTTCTCCAGTCTCTCCCAAAGACCCCAGCCTTGGAGAACTCTCCTGAAAGTGATCGGGATAAAACACAGAAATGTATTTGACCAATTGTTTTCTTTGTTGTTGATTGATTTGATTGCTAACTATTTTAGAAAACTTGTACTGTATAGTGTACAGATCTGTCATGTTATAGCTATAAAATGGAGTATATTCAGTGATTTCTGTTTGTGTAGCTTTTTTTCTAGGCCTTGGACAGTAGTAGACTTCCATTGTTTCTAAGGCACATTCAGAGTGTTCCTATTATTTTATGTTTAGTGCCTTTCCCAGAGACAAAACTTTCCTAAGTCTATAAAAAAAATATTTTCAATGAGATCTTGAAGCACATCTAAAGCGCCTTCCCTCTATTCTCCTAATTTTCCAAATATATTTGTCTCCAAATTTCTTTTCTAATAGAAAGTATTCAGAAAGCTTTTAAAGACTGAACCAGATTATAAGGACAGCTTCCTCAAGCTTCTGAGTCATTAGGCCATTTTCTCTGGGGATAAGCCCATTTCCTACACTCTTTTGTGCTCCCCAAGCTAGTGACATCCTCCTCACCTACATGTGAGACTGTCCCATGGCAGGACTGTGACAACACTGGGGCTTACTTTTGAATCTGCCCTTCATTTGGGGGAACTCCCTGCTTAACATTCTATTTGTCTAATGTCCTCATTGGCAGTCACTGCTATACCATGGGCACAAGCAAGGCATAGATCAAGGTTGGGATGGATTTTATTGG